AAACAAAGTTTCTGCATTAATGTGACCTTGAAATGTCTTTGCTTTTTCTGTGGCATTCTCGGTGTGAGAGCCATGTCAATGTGGGAGTTGAAGGTGAGTGCTGCTGCACAGATCTGAAGTCATTTTGCCTGGAGTTAATTTGTGAAATGCTTTCATTGAAGCACTTGGACTCTCTCCAGAGATTATTTTGCATAAGAAGCACTCTAACATCTGTGTCTCATCCACAGGCACAGAGTTCTGCTAAACCTCTTCAGGCTTGAGAACCTCTGTGACTCCTACCCCCAGCTATGTTTGTCATATAAGTAAGGGAGGAAGAGCCATCAGATTACAAACCTACACGTCTCTTTCAAAAGGTTGGCAAAGAATATTTCACTTTGCAGGGGGAGAAGTGTAAGAAGGCTGGGTAAATAAGAAGCTCTTTGCTCTTAGGTAAGACAGCACATTAAATCCCTGGCAACTCCTACATACTCAGAAGCTGACAAGTGCTGCTTTATTGCATCTTACTTAAAGGAAGTAAACATATTGTGTTCACTAGATACAAAATGTGACTTAAGTATGAAAATTTTCAGAACCATTCTTCCACCAAGTGGATTGGTAGAATTGCAAGAAGTAACTTTATAAAGATTCTGACATTATTCTGCTGAGATGTAGAATAGTTAGCTGTGGAGATGTTACATCCCTGCAGTATTTGCTTTGAGGGAGGTGGTTCCCTGCTGAATCTGTAGAATAAAGAAATGCACTTACCCACTTTGACTGTTTCTTCATGTGTATAAATAAGGCCATACTCCACTTCATTAACCCTAATGTTTCCTATTTGTCAGCTTGTCCTGGTTCTGGCAGGGATAGGATTAATTTTCACAAGGAGCTGAGAAGGGACACAGCTGGGTTGGCTGACCCAAACTAGATAAAGGGATATTGGATAGCATGTGGTGCCATGCTCAGTATATAGCTGGGGGAGCAGGAACTGCTGCTTGGGAGTGGGCTGGGCTTCGTGTTCCAGTTGGTGAGCGGCTGTACATTAATCGTGCTTTGTATATTCCTCTATCAGTATTATTGTTGTTATTTTCCTCTTTTCTTTGCTGTTCTGTTAAACTGCCTTTATCTCAACCCAGGAGTTTTGCCTTTTTCTTCTGAATCTCTTCCCATCCCACCACTGGGGGTGGAGTAAGCGAAAAGACTGTGTGGTTCATTGTTACCGGGCTGGGGTTAAACTATGACAAGTCCTTTCTGGCACCCAACATGGGGCACGAAGGGTTGAGATAACAACACATCTGACCAGAGCTTGTTAAAATGAATTTGCTATATGCATTTATTATATTTGTTAAATAGTTGCTGGTCACAATGTTGCTTTGTTTGTTCGCATGGCTGTGTTATGTAAATTCTTATATGCTCTACCTACTCTCCTTTGATGCTGTTTATCACCTCTACCTACTCTCCTTTGATGCTGTTTATCACCTCTGGAAGAGGGATCAGGATTATAATGTTGCTGTCCTGTGTAATATCAACTTATGGTATGATAACATCACTGTTCAGGTGTTCATGTTGGGGTGTTTATGCAGGATTGCTGTTCTGCCTGTACCTTGGTTGCCATCTCTTGGAATGTATTAATAATCACACCCAATCTATGTGGGAAACGGGGGGATACTTTCCCCAGCTCTTTCGCCTTCCTTTTCTCTTTTGGGCCAGGTATGACAGCTTTTGAGAATTTCAAATATCCTTGGGATGCTCAAACCAGTGTGGTCTTATTGCTATGTCTCCTGAATGTGTTTCGGGCCTTGTTTAGGGTTAAACAACTATTTAGGAATACCACCCAGAGATCTGCCCCAAGGCTGGATAGTCAGGGGTGACATGGCATGTGGGAGAATATGGGCAGGTATCTAAAGAATTTCTCACCTCCAATGGTTTGGGACTTCACCACTGAACAACTACAGGACCCTGATAAAGGGATAGAATATTTGAAAGGAAAATGCTGTGGCTGTTCCAGAGAGGCACAACTTGCCACACTGTGCTGGACCCTGGCCAGTATCTACCAAACACTGCTCAATATTATGCAGCACCCTCAGGAGAAAGAGAGGGAAACCAGATCAACAGGCACTGTGGCTATTCCAGCCCCTGCAACAGGCACTGCAGCTGAACCAAGAAACCAACCCGTGCCAGTATCCATTGCTCCTATACAGAAGAAGAAATACACCAAGAAATCAGTTTGCTTAGTAAGGGATGACGATGAACCAGGGCCATCAAAAGAACGGGAGGAAGAGACGGAACCAGAGATAATCACCCGATCCCTATCCCTGAGTGAGCTGCGAGATATGCAAAAAGTTTTCAGCCGACTTCTGGGGCAAGCACATTGTCAACCTGGCTGCTCCGATGCTGGGATAATGGGGCCAGTAGCTTGGAATTAGAGGGCAGGGAAGCCAAGCAGCTGGGATCCTTGTCTAGGGAAGCGGGCATTGACAAGGCTATTGGGAAAAAGACACAAGCCATCCGCCTCTGGAGGCAACTCCTGTCAGGCGGGAAGGAAAGGTACCCCTTCAGTGAAGATGTATGTCACCCAGGCAAGTGGACAACCATGGAAAGAGGTATCCAGTACCTGAGGGAATTACCCATGTGGGAGATGGTTTATTATGACCCATACAACGCACAGTTACCCACAGATCCCGACGAAGTCCAATGCACATGGCCCATATGGCAGAAGTTTGTATGGAGCACACCATTGTTGTATGCCAGCTCATTGGCAGTGATGGAATGGAAAGGTGAAGAGGGACCAACAGTGTATGAGGTAGCTGGCTGACTCCAGCAATACAAAGAAAGCCTCTCTTCCCCCCTTGTCTCAGCTGTGGAGAAACTGTCCCAGAAGGTCCAGCAACTTGAAGAGAATATGTCCTGCTCCCCACCTCTACGGGCCACAATGTCAGCTATTAGGAGTTCACTTTTCTCTGCTCAAGAGAGAGCATATAGAGGGTACACACCACAAGGCACCCTGTGGTTTTACCTTCGTGATCATGGAGAGGACATGAGGAAGCGGGATGGACAACCCTACCCCAATCCTAGAAGCATGGGCGGCAGCATAAGGGTGAACTATTCCTAGCTCGGTGGGCCCACGATGCTTCAGGCCATCAAGGGAGAGATGCGACATACAGATGGGCTCGTGACCGAGGGGTGGACTTGACCATGGACACTATTGCACAGGTTATCCACGAATGTGAAACGTGTGCTGCAATTAAGCAAGCCAAGCGGTTAAAGCCTCTTTGGTATGGAGGACGATGGCGAAAATATAAATATGGGGAGGCCTGGCAGACTGATTATATCACACTCCCACAGACCCACCAAGGCAAGCGCCACGTGCTCACAATGGTGGAAGCAACCACTGGGTGGCTGGAAACATACCCTGTGCCCCATGCCACTGCCCGTAACACTATCCTGGGCCTTGAAAAGCAAGTCTTATGGCAACATGGCACCCCAGAAAGAATTGAGTCAGACAATGAGACTCATTTCCGAAACAGCCTCACAGACACCTGGGCCAAAGAACATGGCACTGCGTGGGTATATCGCATCCCCTATCATGCACCAGTCAATACAATGGACTGCTAAAGACTACACTGAGAGCCATGGGTGGTGGGACCTTCAAACATTGGGATACACATTTAGCAAAGGCTACCTGGTTAGTCAACACCAGGGGATCTGCCAATCGAGCTGGCCCTGCCCAATCAAAACTTTCACGTACAGTAGAAGGGGATAAAGTCCCTGTAGCGCACATGAAGAATATGTTAGGGAAGACAGTCTGGGTTTGTCCCACCTCAAGGAAAGGCAAACCCATCTGCGGGATTGCTTTTGCTCGAGGACCTGGGCACACTTGGTGGGTGATGCGAAAGGATGGGGAGGTCTGATGTGTACTTCCTGTGTATCCAATTTTGGGTGAGAATAGCCAATAGATCAACTTGTATTATGTTAATTGCTAAATAACCCTGCCACTGTATGTCATCACTACTATAATTGTTATATGCCATATCAATGGTACTACAGTAAGCATCACCTGAACTAATGATAGATGGACTTTGAAACCGAGTAAACTGCAGCGGTGATGGAACTAGAACTGGCTTCAGCAACTGGTGCCCAGCAACTTCATCAAGATCAACATCTTCAACCCGCAGACCGTGGGTGTGGGCTGCACCAGATAAACCAGCCGCAAGCTCCGAACGCTGCATGCAACAGTCCAGCACCACACACCATCTCTCCTGTTCTGTGAGACTGTTCTAACAGGTGGAGCCCAAAGTCATGGATTAAATGAACTCAATGGATATTTTAGAGGGATGGCCCATAGACTAAGGGAATGATATCTCTCTGTGTGTGTCTATATCAAAAACTGGGAAAAGTGGTGGTAATTAATGGGAAAGTGTTATGGGCATGACATACATGGTATAGCACCCCTTGTTCTGGTTCTGGCAGGGATAGGGTTAACTTTCACAAGGAGCTGGGATGGGACACAGCCAGGATGGCTGCCCCAAATTAGCCAAAGGGGTATTCGATAGCATGTGATGCCATGCCCAGTATATAGCTTGGGGGGGGGGGGGGTGGGCAAGAATTGCAGCTTGGGAGCAGGCTGGGCATTTCAGGTTCCAGTCAGTGAGCTGCTGTACGTTAATCATGTTTTGTATATTCTTCTGTCAGTACTATTGTTTTCCTCTTTCCTTTGCTCTTTTGCCTTTATCTCAACCCACAAGTTTTGCCTTTTTCTTCCGATTCTCCTCCCATCCTGCCGTTGTGGGGGCAAGTGAGCAAAAGACTGTGGTTCTTTGTTGCCAGCTGTGACTAAACCACAACACAGCTAAAATCAGGTAAATCTGTTACCGTGACAGTTTGGTTTTTCTATTGGTTTTGTAGTCCCTGAGAAGTGTTAGTTAGTTCATGTTTGTATACTAACCTGACCGTGCATAGTATTTACTGAGTGGTGTAGTGTTCTTACTGTCCTACCACTTCTTTTGCAGACTAGTCCTTTTGCCATGGAAGCTGAAGAAATGATGGAATGTACCCAGGAATTCCCTGAACACTATAAAGTTATTTTGGATAGACTGAATGAACAACGGGAGCAGGACCAGTTTACGGATATCACTCTGATTGTCGATGGTATGTACAGGCTTGAGAACCAGTTGGTATACAGAAAATTCTGAAAGCTGTGCTGGGAAGCTGTTGGATTTGTCACGGGTCAGCTGTCAAACTGGGTTGTTAACAAATTCTTGATTCTGTATTGGTTTGCGAGTTGCTTGCAGAGTTTGATTTAAAATCTTGGGCTGAACATAGTCTCCAGCAGTGATTAATAATTTTGCTTCTGCTTTTCCAAACAAGGGGCTAAATATTTTCAGATAGAAGCCCACTTTGAAACTGCTGTACTACATTTAACATCTTGTCTAAGGATTTCCAAAACATTGTAAAAATGTCTTTCCCTAACTTGAGTTGACTGTTTGCATGCAGAGAACTTGTACAAATATTTGTTAATTGTTTAAAAAAAAAAAATCAGCTTGAAATAAGATTACCTTCTTGCTTCTCTGGTATCTGCCTACTGGTTTAATATATAGTTAAAATAGTGTAGAACAGCTCCCTTTTCTTTTTCTATGTGTTCTAAACACATAAGTATTAGTTTAAAAGGAAGATGGAGATGTAAGTGCTTATCTCATTAGGAAAGGTGGTGTCTGATAGATCACCTAAGATTGCTTCTTATCCCAAACATGTTTTAGAATGGATGAGCACTTCAAGGAAGATAGGCAGTGTCCACTAGTATGGACCTAGCTAAAGGAGTACCATCTGATCCTTAAAAGGATAGCAAGAACTCACTTGAAGGAAAAGGGTCCTACAGAGCCTGGATTAGAAAAAAGTAAGCAAATGAAGAAAAAATTACTCTTCTGGAATCATCATAGTTTCATTGACAACGCTTGCACAAAACTTATCCTGAACGTTTGTTCCTGCTTTAGTATTACCAAATCCACACGTTGAGCTCAAAACTGTTTTCTTGTGCAGCTGTGTAGTTCTAATCTATGATGCTTCTTTTACCTCTGTCCCATGGAGCCTTATGAATGTTCGTGCCTGTACCAGGGAGAAGGCAACACAGTGACGAGAAATATGCAGTCTGGAAAACAGGAAAAACGGAGCAGAACTACTTCTGTTCAGAAGAACGGAGAAGAACTATTTCTGTAGGGCTCGTTATGCTGGCAGAAGTGATGATAAAATACATCCATATGTAAGAGCACCAAAAACCAAGGAGAGGTAGGATAAACCCTGAGAGCTGAGCCCAAGGCATACAGGAAAAAGTTTGCACAGGAATTTCCCATAACTTAAATATCTGAAAAGAGAAACACTAGGGTGAGTGAGTCCTGCAGCTGATTGAGTTACAGAGCTTCAGCAAGGTCAGTGATGTCAGCAAGGGTCTGCATGAGATGGGACAGGCTAGCTGCAATGGTATTCCATGTTACAAGGAGACATACTAAGTGACTATGTGCTGCTGGAATAGATTTGTAGACCGGGTGGTTCTGTAGCTGTTCTCTTCTCTGCATCTGCACTTATTCTGCACTATGAGTAAGAAGGTGTTATCCTAAACCAAAATATTTGTCTCTCTTTGTAGGTCACCATTTCAAAGCTCATAAGGCTGTTCTTGCTGCCTGTAGCCAGTTCTTCTACAAATTCTTCCAAGACTTCACTCAGGAGCCCTTGGTGGAGATTGAAGGTAGTCTGATTCATGCAAATAAAAACTTTGAGTTGTACGTCCAAGCTCAAAATGAATGTAGTATCATTGGTATGGGCTTAAATGCATGCTTGGTCATGTCGATTACCTTCCTAGATCTCAGCTCTTGAGTTGTTCGGAGGTAGTGTTGTGGTTTAACCTGAGCTGGCAACTAAGCACCGCACAGCCAGGCTCACTCATTCCCCCCCAGTGGGATGGGGGGGGG